CACTAATATGTGTGCTTTTACATGGAAATAGCCTTTCTGTTTAAGAGAATGGTGTAGATCTGATGGTGTGGGGGCCCAGGCAGAGAGAGCACGTGAATGAATCAATGTAGAAATAGTAAAAACTTCAGATCCTTGGGGAGGAAGGAGGAAAATAACAAAACCCTGATGTACTATATTTTATCTGTTATATCTGCAGAGGAATTAGTGTCAAGACCCAGAAACTTTGCTCTATCTTGGTGCTTGTTTCAGTTCAGGTGGGGTGGGCTTCTCCTCTGATGGGTCATTTCCTTCTCTCCTATCACATTCCAGGCTACATTAAGATGACAAATTTCACTTATAGGCAGAGGCACAGACATGAAAACCTAAGCTATTCAGCTAACTGAGTGAGTGCAGATGAGTCAATTTATTGTGGGGATATAGGGAGTGTTTGAAGAACAAAATAGATTTTGTTAGTTGGCGCTACAATGATGGCAGATGCTGCCCCGAACCACGACTCTGCTTGTTTTGCCTTATCATGCCTCTTATGGTGGGAGAGAAATGTTAAAGTAATTAAGAAACTTGTTTTTATAGTTGTTTATTTTATATTTTTCTACTGGGGGGATACATTGTGATATTTACCAAAGTTCTTACAATATATCATAATTCAATTCACCCCTTCCATCATTCTCCTTTATCCTCCCTCCCTCCATTCCTGGAATAGTACGAAACTTCTTAAGCACCCACGTATATACTCAGAATACGTGATTTTCAGATGAAACTAATTTATTGATAATCTTACAGTATCATTTGCAGCAATGTTTCAGGTAAAACAATGTTCAGGTGAACTAGAATAAAAGTCTTGTGTTCTTTTCTATCTGTGAACTCTGCAATAAATAATTCCCTATTCAAGGAGAAAAAAAAAAAACTTGGACAGCAGAAGAGCAGGTCCATCAGATCAAACATGACTGCGTTAAATACTAAAATGTTCAAAGTCTGACCGAGATAGATAAGGCTTTGATGGAAAGTGGATATTTCCCAGGGACATTACAAGCAATAATCCAGATGTTATGGTGTAATGCAACGAGTGTCCATGGATAGATCAGGAGCCCAGCCAAGCCGCGCCTGACACAGGCCTCAGCCTTGCCCTCCCATGCTGTTCTGCCATATGGAACCGATCTCCAGGCCCCTTAATAACCAGCTTTGGATTCCATTTTCACAGAGCTCATAGAGCTAAGTGGAGCTGTTTTATGGACAAGTTAGATAGAAGCCTTTCCAAGATAAACATCCAATTTGAAATTAGGACATATCAAGCCACAAAATTATTTTAGGGCATATTTCATGGAAGTGCTGCCGTTTTTCTTAGGCAATTGCCAGACTGTAGGATGCCCTTTGATCCTTTGTGGACATAACTCCCCTTTTTATAAAAAGGATTTTGAAATAGTTGCGGTGCTTAGGGAGGACTATATCTGTCGGAACTTTGAAGCATGACCGTGGGACCGGTCATGCTTTAGCTTGTTGGTTGGCAAGGCAAACTTTTAAGAAGAAAAAAAGCAAAAAAGGAAATAGCAGGAGGATATATGAATCAAAATCTCATTTTCATTTTGAAGGCAAAAGTTTGTAGCCTCTGTACTTAATAAGCTACAAAATGCATTGAGTATATATTCTGCACTTAAAAACACATCAGTAGATGGATGCACATATATACGTATATGTGTCTGTGTTTTGTGGGGATGCATTGTTTTTAACAAAACCAAAGTCATTTTAACTATTTCATAAACCTGTATTATTGAATATATTATATCCAGAACCCGACTGCAAAGTAGATGTTAAGAAAGAGTTATTCACGTTTGCTAGAGGAGAAAGTTTTTAAGTTAGTTCTTTCCCCATTTGCATGCCCTATCCTGTCCTATCTCAATACCTCTCTTTCTCTGTCTGTCTCTGTGTGTGTGTCTGTCTGTCTCTCCCTCTCTCTCTCTGGAGAGACAGACAGAGAGACAAAGAGAGGGAGAAACACAGAGGGAGGGTGGGAGGGAGGGAGGGAGCAAGGAAGAGAAAGAGAGGAAGAGAGAGCGAAAGAGAGAGAGGTAAGGAGAATGTTTTTAAGAGAAAACTAGCATGACCAGCATGGATAAAAAGTTTGGAAGTATATCTTAAAGTTATTTTTGTTAAAGGCTTGTCATAGTAAGCCACAAAAAAGTATTTTGTTTAAGATTGTCATAAAATGATTAACAAAATGCCTGGTCTGGTATTGTTGCATCATTTATTGAGAGTGATGGAATGATGTAGATTGAATGAGATAAGCTGTTATATAATTAATATGGTCCTGACATGCCATTTGTTGTGATAAATTGTGACTAACTGGTGTCCCAACAAATTTGTGTCTCAATGATCTTGAAGATATAGTGAGCAGATGACAGCAATGAATATGCAGTGCTAGAAATTCATTGCTTTACTATGATGCTTCTGCCATTTACATTCTTCAGTCCATTTATTTCTCCTTCAAATAAAAAAGCTTATGCTGTGCCTTTTCACTTACTTGAAGGAAGAGCAGAAATTAAACCCTGGCAAGAAAATGCAGCATGGGGATCAGTGGGGATTCTAACTCAGAGCAACCATACTAAGACATCATCGTGACCACTGGGGGAATATGAATAAGCCCAGGGTATTTAATTACACTAAGGGCATTATGATTGACTAGTATGATATGTATGATTGCTTACATTAGAACAGATATGTTTTTAAATGTTTCAGCCAGCAAAATTAATAAAGTGAGCAATTTACTATTGAATTTGGTGAATAAGTAATAAGTCCTCTTTTCTTGTGTATTGTTTAACAGATTATATGATGGAAATTAAAAACATGCTGCAGCTATCAGTTATATCATTTATTAATAGAATAATAGGTGATACTTGCCTTCTTCTGTATTATGTTTATATTTGTGTGAGTGTGTGTAAGTAATATAATTTGGAAAAGGGAAAAAATTAGTTAACAGTTACTCAACCCCTCATGAGTCCCAAGGGTTCTCAAATGTACTTTGTACATTTCCCTACTTGTCCCACTCCACCCCACCCCACCCTGTGGACCTGCAAACTTCATTTGGCAACTAATCCATTATTAAGCAGAACATGCAGTTGAGAAACTCATAGTGGTATAGGGCTTTTTATTCCCAAGAATGAGGGAATGTGGGGACAGATTCCATTGTGAAGGTTGAACTCATGGTCATTATTGCTAAATGCCAGAAGTAGTTTTGTGTCCCTCAAAAGTGATGCCTTTCTTCCCTTTCTACTGTTAAAACAGCCTAAGGCCCAGTTTAAGGACTGCTACCGTAGAGCACATCTGGGTGGGAGTACAGACCTGTGCCAAATCAAAGTGTTGCTTATACTCACCCTTTGCTATATTGTTCCAAGTCCAAAACTTCAGAAGCAAGTCCCATAACTGAGACTGCAGGCTTGTGAAACTAATGCACCAGGCAGGGAGTAGTTTACTGACCAAACACTGAAAGCTGGAATTCCTGTGATCACAAGAGTCACTCAAAGAATTATCTGCAAGTTTATATGTTATCTCTATGTTTTGCTTTAGTCCTCTTTGATACGCAACCTACGGCTCTCGGAGTCCTTGAAAAAGAACCAACTCTGGAATGGGATTATAAGCATAACTTTGTTGAAGGGAAGAATGTCTCAGGAGGAAACATGACCGAGATGTTTGTCCAGTTAAAACTGGGAGATCAGAGGTATAAAAGTAAGGTAAGTTTTGTCAATTGTATAAGGAAGACAAGATTTTTCAGAATAAAATAATTATGATACTGTTTCCTCATTCTAAACTGTTGCAATAGTAGAAATAGCTTATCTTTAGCCTTTGTAACTATACTAACTAGTATCCCAGAAAACCAAATAATTATAAGATGTATTCAATTAATATGGTAGTGCTTTGATTGCTTAGTATAATTTATTTGAAAATAATATCTCAGAGTTAGAGAAAGCTTATTAAATTATAGCTTTAAATGCATGATTTATTTCCACTTTGAAAATAAGCAAAGTATGCTTCATAGAATGCAAGAAAAGGATAAATGAATGTTTTTTCAAAATTCTACAAAATTAACATAGCACACTACTTGATATCTAGATTAAAATGTCTGAAGTAATTGAAAACATTTTCAAAATTGTATGCACTTTACTGTCTTTCACTTGTTATTCTCAAAGCCAAAAATAGATATTTAGTGCTGCTGGGCTTCTTTTTTTTTTTTTTTTTGGCTGTGATTTTCAAAATTAAACTATGTAAAGTATTACAAATAAAGGCATTTTAAACTGTCCTTAAAGATAATTCATTCTATGGAGGTGAAGAGGTACAAGTACATCACACCACCCTACCACACACAAATATTTGAGTATGATATATAAATATACATATAAATGATATATAGTATATCACACACACATATGACAATAGCATAATGAAACCTAGCAAATATCATTTTACAAACTGTGAGAAGAGGGAGGGAATGAGGATAAGGGAATATAATAGAGGGCATAAACTTGTTCAAAGTTAAATTGTCACAATGAAACCCCCTTGTACTATTAATGCATGCTAATAAAAAACACAAATAACTGGAAAAAATAAGTCACCTTACTTGGCCAATCCAAATTCCCTGTAATTTTTAACATTAATAATTTGGCGTAGATTTTATTTCAAAACCATAGTCTTTAAACCATGGAAATTAGTTAGTTCTACAAAACTATGAGAGAGGAGTATTTCCTATATTTTATGAATTGCAACAGCCAGGGTACTTGAAGTTATGTCGCTCGCTAAAAGCCACCCAGAGGGAAACAAAACCAATCAGTGGAAGATTTTGAAAGTAAACTGAAGATTATTTGCAACTCAGGCTTTCCAGCACTGTATGTAGAGCACAGAAGATACAGACAACTTGGAAAACAATTTAGGATGGGAAGAGGTTTTCTGCAGTGACCAATGTTAGTACAAATCAAATATTAGATATCTTTACTCCAGAAGAAAGGAGTAGAGAAATGAGTCACAGATTGAAGAATAGTTTATAAAAATGTGAAAAATTGAGAATGAGTTACAGCTGAACCATGCAGATAATTATTTGAAGCAGGTAGTTTTAGGCTGACTCACAGTAAGCATAGGAGACACACATGTCTCTCCACTATGTTTCCTTTAGCCAGCCAGGATTAGGGCTAAGGATTTATGGGCAATTTATTCATCACTAGGAACACAGCCCTTTGAACTAAGATGAAGTTTAAAATTAGTCTAATATTTGGGACATTCTCCTTTAGAGAATACTAAATTTCATTTGTGGTTCTAATAGGTCCTTTTTTCTTCCTGGTTTCTAAATTCCATGATCTGATATGTTAAACATGATGTGAAAACCAGCTAAGCTGATTTTACATGACGGGGGCTGCAGCTGAATTACGCATGTTTTTCTTATGCAGAAATAGTGTTGCTAGGATTTAACTGTTGATGCTGTGCCCTGAGAGCTGGGGCTCAGTGACAAACACTTTTACTCTCTTCACAAATTGGATCTCTATAAATGAAAGAAAAATGGAAATACTGTCAGTGAGCAAAACACAAACCCAACTTGAAGTTACTCTTGGAGAACCCAAACACTTGTGGGGTTTTCAAACCACTCTTGTTAATTTTTAAGCATGGCTGCAGTGGAATTTCTGATTCTTCCCCCACAAACCACTCTACTGCCTGGATCTAGTAACTCTGTATGAAAAATAGACAGCAATGTACAAATTTTGAGTTTCTGATTTAAGGCATCTGACAGATGTTAATTAAAATCCCAAACAGCTAATTTCTATAATTCTTAATTCAACACTGAATGCATTTACCAAAAAATGTTATTGAATTTTATTAACCAAATTAGTGTTATCTTCTTTAAGAAAGAATAGTTAAAAACAGTCAATGGATGTATATTGACGATAGATATGTGCATGTTTTTGTGTGTATTACTTATGATTTCTTGCAGTTTTCTTTTTAAATTAATGGGTAAATGACTGAATCTGTCTAGGAGTGGTGGCACATGCCTGTAATCCTAGAATCAGGAGGTTGAGGCAGGAGAATTGTGAGTTCGAGATAGCCTTGGAGACCTTGTCTCAAAAATAAATAAGTAAAAAATTCCAAGGTTTGGGGCTAGCTAATTCCTAAACCCTCGAGGTTCCTTTCAATCCACAAAGAAAAGCTTAACGTATTAAGAGGCAAGTCCCATCATCGTCCACTCCCGCATTTAGAGATGACATGAATGTATGTCTACTGTAGCAATGGATGGCGTTTTAAGACAGTAAACATTGTAACTGCATGTTTTCTAGACACTGTGTAAGAGTGCAAACCCGCAGTGGCAGGAACGCTTTGACTTTCACTACTTCTCTGACAGGATGGGCATTTTGGAGATTGAAGTGTGGGGAAAGGACAGCAAAAAGCATGAGGAGCGTCTGGGCACGTGAGTTACTCTGCTTCTAACTGGTGGGAGCTTGCTTTTGCATGGGGCTTTGCTGACAGGGTGTCTATTTGGGCTGAGGTTGCTAACTCATATTCCACCCCAAGGGCCATCAGTAATTCAGGACAATCAAGCCTAATACTGGGAATGTTTGCTTATTTTTTAATTGGCAAATGTCATTCAGTATTTAAAGGCAGTATTCAAAACAGAAGAAGATATAGTTGTCCCTTAGTATACACAAGAAATTTGTTCCAGGAACCTCTCTGCTAACACCAAAATACACAGTGCTCAGGTCCCTGATATAAAATGGTGCTGTAGTTGTGTACAACCTGTGCACATCATCCTATATACTGTAAATTATCTCTGGATGATTTATAATTCCTAATACAGTGTAAATAGGTGGTTGTACTATATTGCTAAGGGAGCAATGACTCCAAAAATGTTTGCCTGTTTGCTATATATATATTTTTTAAGTAATTTTTCTTCATATTTTGAATTTTATTTTTAAGTTATCACACGTTAATAATACATGAGGGTTTTATTGTGATAATTCTATATGTGTAGACAGAGAATCTTGGACAAGTTTACTCCAAAGTGTTTGGTTGGATTTCATTATGCTGTCTTCATATGTATTATTTTTCTTTTTAATATGTCTTTATTATTTGCTTATTTCTTTTTCCATCATGGTCAAGTTGATTGAGATATCGAAAGTAACTGATGGTTATTTTTATTAGCATATTTTGTTGTATTGGGGGTACATTGTAACATTCATTAAAGTGCTTAAAATATATCTTTGTTAAATTCACCCCCCACCATTATTGTCCATTATCCCCTTCTCCCCATTCTTAGAATAGTTTCAATAGGTCTCATTTTTCCATTTTCATGTATGAGTACATAATATTCATTTTCATACATGAGTACATAATATTTCTACCATATTAACCCTCCGTCACCCTTCCCTATGTCATACCCCCTCTCACTCTAGTAACCCCCAGACAGGACCTGTTTACCTTCCTGTTCTTTATGTTTTAAAAAAAGATATTTTTGTTTTACAGTAGCTATACATTATGATACTTCCGTATATGTATTATGTATGTGTGTGTGTGTGTGTGTGTGTGTGTGTGTGTGTGTGTTATATCCTGAATTGGTTTATCACCTCCATTTTTCTCTTTTATACCTTAGTCCTCTTCTTATAGTGATTTCAAAACATTTAAGTATTCTGTATTTATTCTTATATAGAAAGCAGATCAACCATATTCACCTTCTTTACTTCTTTTGCCCTCCTTATCTCATTAGTGTGATCCCTTAGTGCGACCTGTTTTCTTCTTTGTCCTCCATTGTTAAGGTGTCCACTCATCATTCAGTGCAATTTCTGCCTTGGTATTATACCTGTATATGCATTGTGCTTAACTCAATCTAACCCCCTCCACTACACTTCCTCACCCTTTTCCCTCATCCTCATTGTTTACCAGTTTTCAGTGCATTTTTTTTTGTGTCTTGTTCCTACACAGCTGTGATGTTTATCATTATCATTTGCTATTTTTCTTTCATTTGTTTCTTCCTCTCCATGTATTTTTTGATATAAAATTGGTTGAACCTATGAGTGTGGATCATGTGGATTGAAAGGATTTCTCTAAAGAAAATAATTTACCACCTCAGACAATATGGGACATGCTTGCATACATTTCCAAGGTACTCTTTTTGGTTTTGCTACATAGTGAAAGGCTAGGTGTCTATCATGATGGAGTCTTTTCAATGCCCTTGTATACTCTGTGGTAAGATACACTGTAATCCCCTGAGGACAAAGTTACTTTGTTTTTCATTTCTTTACTTTGGAACCTCCCAACTCAATGGAGGTGATCATCCATATGTAACAAAATATAACAAAGTACTATCTCTTCTCCATAAGGTTGTAGTGAAGAGTAGAATAAAATGAAGTAGTGTATGAGCTGTGTGTGACCAGCCCAGAGTAAGCATGAAGGAGATGCTTTGGAAGTATGTGCCACCTTTACCATGACCATGTAAAGGAGTGGCATTAGACTCATTTTATAAATGAGGAAGAGGAATACAAGAAGTTTACAAATGCCCTGGCCTTGGGCTTAAGAACATTGCAGAATCAGGGTTCTGTGTTTTTAAATTTCTTTCCATCAAATCACTGCCTTTTGTATATGCCACATACATACAGTTTGTACACAAATCTTTTTTTTTTTTTTTTCATTTTTCTTTTATTATTCATATGTGCATACAAGGCTTGGTTCATTTCTCCCCCTGCCCCCACCCCCTCCCTTACCACCCAATCCACCCCCTCCCGCTCCCCCCCTCAATACCCAGCAGAAACTATTTTGCCCTTATCTCTAATTTTGTTGTAGAGAGAGTATAAGCAATAATAGGAAGGAACAAGGGGTTTTGCTGGTTGAGATAAGGATAGCTATACAGGGCATTGACTCACATTGATTTCCTGTGTGTGGGTGTTACCTTCTAGGTTAATTCTTTTTGATCTAACCTTTTCTCTAGTTCCTGGTCCCCTTTTCCTATTGGCCTCAGTTGCTTTAAGGTATCTGCTTTAGTTTCTCTGCGTTAAGGGCAACAAATGCTAGCTAGTTTTTTAGGTGTCTTACCTATCCTCACCCCTCCCTTGTGTGCTCTCGCTTTTATCATGTGCTCATAGTCCAATCCCTTGTTGTGTTTGCCCTTGATCTAATGTCCACATATGAGGGAGAACATACGATTTTTGGTCTTTTGAGCCAGGCTAACCTCACTCAGAATGATGTTCTCCAATTCCATCCATTTACCAGCGAATGATAACATTTCGTTCTTCTTCATGGCTGCATAAAATTCCATTGTGTATAGATACCACATTTTCTTAATCCATTCGTCAGTGCTGGGCATCTTGGCTGTTTCCATAACTTGGCTATTGTGAATAGTGCCGCAATAAACATGGAGTGCAGGTGCCTCTGGAGTAACAGTCTTTTGGGTATATCCCCAAGAGTGGTATTGCTGGATCAAATGGTAGATCGATGTCCATCTTTTTAAGTAGCCTCCAAATTTTTTTCCAGAGTGGTTGTACTAGTCTACATTCCCACCAACAGTGTAAAGAGGGTTCCTTTTTCCCCGCATCCTCGCCAACACCTGTTGTTGGTGGGGTTGCTGATGATGGCTATTCTAACAGGGGTGAGGTGGAATCTTAGTGTGGTTTTAATTTGCATTTCCTTTATTGCTAGAGATGGTGAGCATTTTTTCATGTGTTTTTCTGGCCATTTGAATTTCTTCTTTTGAGAAAGTTCTGTTTAGTTCACATGCCCATTTCTTTATTGGTTCATTAGTTTTGGGAGAATTTAGTTTTTTAAGTTCCTGTATATTCTGGTTATCAGTCCTTTGTCTGATGTATAATTGGCAAATATTTTCTCCCACTCTGTGGGTGTTCTCTTCAGTTTAGAGACCATTTCTTTTGATGAACAGAAGCTTTTTAGTTTTATGAGGTCCCATTTATCTATGCTATCTCTTAGTTGCTGTGCTGCTGGGGTTTCATTGAGAAAGTTTTACCTATACCTACTAACTCCAGAGTATTTCCTACTCTTTCTTGTATAACTTAAGAGTTTGGGGTCTGATATTAAGATCCTTGATCCATTTTGAGTTAATCTTTGGTATAGGGTGATATACATGGATCTAGTTTCAGTTTTTTTGCAGACTGCTAACCAGTTTCCCAGCAGTTTTTGTTGAAGAGGCTGCTATTTCTCCATGGTATATTTTTAGCTCCTTTGTCAAAGATAAGTTGCTCATAGTTGTGTGCTTCATATCTGGATCCTCTATTCTGTTCCACTGGTCTTCATGTCTGTTTTTGTGCCAGTACCATGCTGTTTTATTGTTATTGCTTTGTAATATAGTTTGAAGTCAGGTATTGTGATACCTCCTGCATTGTTCTTTTGACTGAGTATTGCCTTGGCTATTCGTGGCCTCTTGTGTTTCCATAAAATTTCACAGTAGATTTTTCATCTCTTTAATGAATGTCATTGGAATTTTGATGGGAATTGCATTAAACATGTAGATTACTTTGGAGTATCGACATTTTTACTATGTTGATTCTACCAATCCATGAGCATGGGAGATCTCTCCACTTCTATAGTCTTCCTCAATCTCTTTCTTCAGAAGTGTATAGTTTTCCTTGTAGAGGTCATTCACATCTTTTGTTAGGTTACACCTAGGTATTGATTTTTTTTTGGGCTATTGTAAATGAATTGTTTTCATTACATTCTTTTTCAGTTTGCTCTTGTTAGTGTATAGAAAATGCTAATGATTTTTCTATGTTGATTTTATATCCTGCTACTTTGCTATAGCTATTGATGATATCCTAGAAGCTTCTGAGTAGAGTTTTTTGGGTCTTTAAGGATATAGGATTCATGTCGTCTGCAAATAGGGATATTTGACAGTTTTCTTTACCTATTTGTATTCCTTTTATTCCTTCTTCTTGCCTAATTGCTCTGGCTAGTTCCAGATACATGTTGAATAGGAGTGGAGATCAGTGGGGCATTCCTTGTCTGGTTTCCTGATTTTTAGAGAGGGAACGGTTTTTAATTTTTCTCGTTAAAGTATAATGCCTGGCTGTAGGTTTGTCATATATAGCTTTTATAATGTGAGGAACTTTCCTTCTTATTCCTTAGGTTTCTTAGAGCTTTTATCATGAAATGATCTGTGATCTTATCAAAGCTTATTTCTGCATCTTATTGAGATGATCCAAGTGTTTTTGTCTTTGCTTCTGTTAATGTGGTTTATTACGTTTATTGATTTTGTTATGTTGAACCACCCCGCATCCCTGGCGATGAAGCCACACTGGTCGTGTGAGATTTAATCTTTTGATGTGTTTGCTGATTCGATTTGCCATTATTTTGTGAGATTGTTTGCATCAATGCTTCACTTATAAGGAGATGGCCTATAGTTTCTCCTTTTGGAGGTGTCTTTGCCTGGTTTTGGGAAGTTAATATGGCTTCATAAAATGTGTTTGCAGTTTTCCTTCCGTATCTATTTCATGGAACAGTTTAAGGAGGGTTGTATAAACAGTTCTTCTTGAAAGTGTCTGATAGAATTCAGAGAGAATCATCAGGTCCTTTGAGACTTTTCTTTTTGGGGAGACTTCTTATTGCTGCTTCAATTTCATTTGTGTTATATCTATTCAGGTGATTAATTTCCTCTTGGTTCAGTTTTGGATGATATTCATATGTATCTAGAAATCTGTCCATTTCTTTTAGATTTTTCCAAATTATTTGAATATAGGTTTCTCAAAGTAGTCTTGATGATTTCCTTGGATTTCCTCGGGTTTGTTGTTATCTCCCCTGTTGCATTCCTGATTCTTACTAATTTGGGTTTTTTCTCCTCCTCATTTTAGTCAGTTTGCAGGGGTCTATCATCTTTTTATTTTTTTTGTTCAAAGAACCAAACTTTGTTTCA